GGGGGGTCGTCTTATACGCCGGGTCGTCTTATACGCCGGCATATACGGTACTTGGAATTGAAGGCTTGCGTGGAAACTTACTCAGCCTAAAGAAAACCTCAACACGGCATCCTCTCTTCCTCTTCCTGTTCTTCCTCCTCCTTCCTACAGGGATAGTGATCCATGGCTCCCCCAGGAGCCTAGCTGCCTCCTTCGGTATGATATGAGAATGTATAAAATTGTCTGTAATATCCTTTTCACATTTCAGTCCAATTTGTAACAAGGCTTGCCAACTATAGATGCTCCTTGCCCCACAGGATTCAATCAAGGAAAGGATCCAAAACACACACAGAATCATACACACCATACACTGAAAGAAGGAGCGGTTAGCCGCAGCATCCATGTGCACAGCCAGCTTGAAAACCGTAATATTTGCAATAAAAAGATTAGTCAAGTAAGTTTGTACATTTATGTATTTTATTTCTTTATTTTTAAAAAAGAACACTTGCTCTCACCAGAGCAGCATAACTATTTTCCATACTGCTAATTTTTTTTTTGCAAGGGGAGGGGGAGAGGAAAAGGTTAAAATACAATTTTAAATGCAAATATTATGTTAAAAAACATCCTAATGCATTAAGAAAATACAAAACTAAATCAGAATTTATTCACAATAATAATCAGCATGGATTGATGTCATGAGGAAGAGGTGCAATGTTATGTAATAAATAAAGCCATTATTTTATGCCAAGGTAACTCAAGTTTTGCATTGTTAAACTGCTTCTAGCAACTATCATCATTTTAGATGAAGCAGACTTAATCTACATATGCAGTTTTCTTCATAGAATCTTATACCTATTCTTTTCAAGAAGGAACAATGGCTTTGAAAATTCCTTGCATACAAGATGGGTATCTGTCTTCAGACTCCTAGTTTGGTTTCAGAGATTCTATCAGCTCTATGTATGTATCTTTGATTTAAGACACAAGATCTGTAACCTTAAAAAACAACAACCCAAAAACTTCACACCACATTCCTGAGGGAATGATGTCTCTGCCTCATCTGCAAGACTTTGCATTGTGTACAGTGCAAATGTGAACAAATGCACACTGAAGTGGTGGTGGGGTATTCACCCTGGAAAAATATTAGTTGCCTATTAGGTCACATTATATGCATTTAAAATATTAAGGCAGCAAGTCTAAGAAAAGTTCCCCATTTTGAAACTTACTGTAGACTAATAAAACTTGTCTGGCGTCTCCAGTATAAAATAGATTAATTACTCAGCATGATTTAAAATAATATGTGCACTGACCATCTCGCTTGGAGAAATGGCACCAGTTTTAAACTAGGTCAATTTTATGGCAATATTTGAGAGTCAGTCTCCTGAGCTGAAACCCATTTTTTTTGGCCACGGGGTGGAAGTTCAAGACTCCCAAAAGGAATTCATTCCTATCTTCACCTTAAACTGTCCCAGAAGATGAAAAGGGACTTAAATCAATATGCTTGTGATCTGCAGGCCATAAGCTGCCCATTCTTGAGACAGGTAGGTCTTTGAAATGACACATGGACTGTTTGTGCAGACTTCCAAAGTAGCCAGCTAGGTTTCAGCCTAGTGTGTTGTGTGAACCAGTCTGTACAGTTGGTGTATGTTTAAGTAGGTCATGCAAATGCAGAACATTAGGCAAATTGAATAAACTATGGTTGGGTAATTATGGGTAAGTCTGCCATGCAACCACAACCTTTTGTCAATATTCCCATATCCCTCTAACTCACCAGGAAAATGTCTGTAGATATTCTCAATCACCTGGATCATAGTTGTCTCAAAGGTGCTTTTACAAAGGCAACTGGACTGTTTTTCCCCCCCTGAGGAAGAAGAAGAAAACATTTTGGGACAAGAAGCTTTTCTTGGATAAGAAGCGAAATGTTTTCTTCTTCCTCAAGGAAACAACAGTCCAGGTGCCTTTTAAAAAAGTATCTTTTGAGTCACTGGGAGGACTTAATTTAGAGTCCCCCTCTCTCTCTGTATCTGTGTCTGTGTGTGTGGTGTTTAAGCAAGCCATGGTTTAGCATATATGAATTCCATCAATGAAACAACTCATTAGAGATGATTAACACATTCTGGTGAGAATTAATCAGATAAATGTTCTGCCAATGGACATCTGGATCAACTTATAACTATCTCTTGGATTTGCACTCGTTCAAATTTTGCAATGCATTTCTCAATTCCAAAATCATTCTAAAACACTTATCAATAAAATGCTCCAACAGGATAATTAAAATGACAGTGCAAACCATATTAATAGTAAGAAATAGCATGTTTTGCTCTGATGTTAAAAACACAAGTGGAATGGAATTCAATTCAATTATCTGCTTATTTGTACCTCTTATCAGAGGGAAGGGCACTTTTTAGACTTGGATCTATTCTGCTTTTTCTCTATCAATCAACTGAAGTCAGGTATATGCTAAAAATTAAAGAAGGATCAAGGATTAGCTTTTGAGTTTAAAGGCCTCTCACACAACCCCATCTTTCATAATCTCAGTAGTATAATTTAGAGTTAGAGGAGGCATTGTGTAGCTGCTATTGTTAAATAACTGGGAGTCAAAAATCCTTATTGATCATCTTCTAACCATTCTGATATCTGCCTATAAATCTTGGTCTCCCTGGATCTGCTTTTGATATTCCTGTGTGATCTGTTAGTAGCCACAATAGTCAGTGACATATCCCAGTGACTGCAATACTCATTTCTGTGGCAAAATCAGCCTGGAAATCTGTACTTTGGAGGAGAAAACAGAGTTCCAGAATCCAGCAATCATGGACAAGTCTCACTGATTTTCTGTCATTCTACCATCTACTGTCCTGCCAGCAACTTCAGAAAGAGCCAAGAGAGGACAAAGCTCAGAAAGAAAAGAGGTTTTCCTACACATTTAAAAGAGCAGAAAAGGCAACTTAAGGCTCTTTGAAGAGAAGAGGCACTGGAGAAGATATGCTACGTATAGGCAGCTGCGTCAGGAGCAGCATACAGCAGTGTAGTCCATCAACCTGGCAGACTGTAGTTGAGATATTTTCAAATTGTGTCCCAGTTGCTTACAAATGCTCACTGAGGAGAGAGACAAAAGTTACCCACAACATGCTCAGTTGTCTGTTTATGACAAGACATTTGGTGCCTTGGAAATGACAACATTAAACAACTCTTAAAACCAAGGCAACCCTCATTTTATTTCCAATATGCAGCTAGCTTTGTTTTCAGTTCGCACACCAAACTAGCAAATGAACTTCAATGACTAAAAATAAATTTGCTTTAGAGTCGCCATGTCCAACCTATGGCCCGCAGACAGCATGTGGCCCTGGACAGCTAGTAATGCGGCTCTGTAAGATCATATAAAATGTTTTTAAAATGTTATTTACATACATTAACTATATCATATATTTTATATGCAACCCAAGACAATTCCTCTTCACTCAATGCAGCCTAGGCAAGCCAAAAGATCCATGCTTTATAGCAGTGGCCCCCAACCTTTTTTGTGCCACGGCCCGGTACCGGCATCAGAAAATGATCTGCGGCCTGGTACCGGCATCAGCATGCATGACAAGGCAAGGCGAGCCGAGCAACCGGCCAGCCAGCCGTCCCCCGCTTCTCCCCGCCACCTTCAACTCCTCCTTTGTACCTTTGTCGATGGGCTTCGCTTCGGGACGGCCACTCGGCTCGCCTTGCCTTGGGTGCTGAAAGAATCCTCGCGCCTTAGTTTCGTTCGAAGCCCCCCCCCCCTCGATGAAACTAAGGCGCGAGGATTCCTTCAGGACCCAAACGCCGCTTTCCAACCGGAAAAGCTCACCCAGAAGCACTTTCTCGTCAAACAAGATGGCGGCGCCCAGCAAACCGGCGGCCCGGTAGGAAATGTTCCACGGACTGGTACCGGTCCGCGGCCCGGTGGTTGGGGACCCCTGCTTTATAGAGCAGTGTTTCTCAACCTTGGCAACCTGATAGCGGGTGGGCTTCAACTCCCAGAATACCCCAGCCAGCTATGCTGGGAGTCCATCCATCAACAAGTTGCCAAGGTTGAGAAACGCTGCTCTGTAAAGCATGGATTTCGAGTGTGTGTGTAAAGGAACACCCTATATTCTGGATTTACATCTTTCCCTTACACCAAGAGCGCATGGCTGAAGAGAAACCTACAGTGTAACCTACCTGCTTTGTGGGAAAAAGATCTCAGGCTCCTTTAAGGAGACAGGAAGAAATGATGGGGAAGACGTAGTGCTTTCCAAACCCTGGACAAGCAGATAATTCAAGGCAGAGATTTGTAGTGTTTGGATCTGAAGTAGGCAGGCCTTCCTGGCAAACATTCTCACCTCTCTGGGCATCAGCCTCATAGCCGGCTTCTACACCAGGGGTGTCAAACTGCATTTCTTCGAGGGCTGGATCAGTATTGCAGTTCTCTGCGGGCCGGGTGGAGGAGACGGGACGGACGCCTCCTGCAACACCCTGCTGGCCAAAATGGGGCACAGGGGGGGCACGCAACTGCCAGAATCCTGACACCCTGTTTTTGACCTGGGCCTCCCGGCCGACAAAAGGGGGCGGGGGGGGGCCCCACGCGCCCCCCCCCCCCCACACTGTGTTTTCAGCCTCCTGCATCACTTTGCTGACCAAAATGGAGGCATCAGAAGCAAAGTGTGGACTGGTCCTTTGCTATTTCTAAGCTGGCCGCGCGGGCCAGATTTAAGCATCCCATGGACAGGATCCAGCCCACGGGCCTTGAGTTTGACATCCTTGTTCTATACCATCTCTGCTTACAGGTAATCCTTGACTTACAATTGGTCAATGTGACCGTTCCAACAGACCTCCCAAAAGGTACTTACAAACTAGTCCCAAAGTTGTGATGGTTTCCACCCCCCAAAACCCCCCCAGTCTTTTCACATTTTGGGTAGTCAGTAACTGGCCTGCATTTATGGCCTTTTGCAACATCCTGGAGTCATATGACTGCAGTTTACATTTTTGCAGTAAAACTCGTGTTTACTTGCAGTTTGGGGCAAACGCGTCCCATAGCGATCAATAAATTCAATTAACAACTATAGTGTTCGCTTAATGAGTGCAGATTCACTTAATGACGAGTCATCAAAAAAAGGGGGGGGAAAGGTAAAATTGGATCGGTCACATGATTATGACTGTTGTTATGGTCATAAGTTAAGGAGTCCCTCTATTACAGAAGTACAGGTTCATGCTTACTTGGCGACACGGGACAAAATCTCCTTGACTCGGACAACCAGTCTTTCATGTTGTATAGGATTGCTCTCAATGGTGCTGTGAAGCTTTGCCATGTAGAAATCAAGTGTGTTCAGTGTGGGGGTCTCACCGGTGCCTGTTGGAAAGAATCCCATTAACTACTTGAGCACCAATTAGCATCCTTGCTTAATTAACATGGTGTAGGCCAGTGGT